TGTCACTTGTATACATGGATTAAAACATGTTACCCACGTAGGTCGTTAGTCAACATGTTTATCTATTGATTAGCCTATAAATTTTGTATGTTTTTGAGGATCCTAATACCATACTTTTTTTTTAATGGGGCGAGTGGGCGCTTAGATTGTTCTCACCTTCAAACAGCACGTTCGTGTGATGTAATTACGAAAGGCCAACTAATCTCAGGTTTTAATAATTGTCACATATTTTAACTAACTTTATAGTTTGTTTTTTCAAGCAGTCTTCGGATGACACTTGCATCGTTTTCACAATCGTTTTTGCACACTTACATGTACAAATAACTTATACTCTCTTTATGAGCCTCTTGAATATGATATAAGGTTTGTTTGTTTTGGAGCAAGGCCACATTGGGCTCTCTGTTGTGTGTGTGTCAGTGTTGGGATCGAACCTCAGATTTTAGCATTGTATTGAATAGAATATTAGGTTTGTTTGTTTTGGAGGAAGGCCACATTGGACTCTCTGCTGTGTGTCACTGTTGGGATCGAGCCCCGGATTTTAGCACTGTAAGCCAGTAAACTTACTTCTGCCTCACGGGGAGACAGGAGAATAGGTATTTGAGTAAAATCTAGATTCCTTAATACGCTGAAAGGCAAAATAATAAATAATCACAGAATATTCTGGTCATTATCAGCATCTCCCTATCCCCCTCTCCAGGACATCAAATAATTTCATTTAGAATTTTAGGCCAATTTGGAATTGACCTTATTAGGCTTGAAACACATTTGCCAATTAATTAGAGTGGGCGGGGGGGGGGGACTGGTGGCAAACTCACAGGAAATGTATCGATAGAAAATTTAAATCCAAAAAGTTTGGACCTCATTTTTTTTTTCTAACGTTAGTTTCTTTTTGAGGGAGTCAAGAAACTTATTAAGGATTCACTCAATGATGGTTAGAAAAGTGCACGTTAGCGTGTATTTAAACCTTGTTCGTTTCTATACAATAAATTCGTCCTTTTCTATAACGTTATTCATTCCACTTTATTTACTTTGTTTTTAAGGAGGCAGAGGTATTTAATCTTCTTTTGTAAAGACGGAGATGAGAGAAATAACATAATCGATTTTGGAAATATTGATCAATTACGTTTCGGGTTTTTCTCACTGTACGCTGCACCCAGATGTTTTGTATTGCAATGTCGTACATCAAAGTTCTTTTTTGGAATCTATTCGACTGGTCAGTTCCATACATGTAATGCAATTCAATTCCATAGAATAATCTTTATTGATTTTTAGTTCGGCCTGCGAATATTTTTGACTTGGCTTTTTTTAGCGATCGAAAATTTTACGTATAAAATACTCCCAGCATGTTTGTTTTTATAGTGAACTATTTCTCTCTCTCTCTCTTCTTTTTTTTTTTCTTGGGAGAGGGTTGT